CTGCTGAGCGGCTTCAGGTGCGTTCCGCGGCCGCCGAGACGTCCCAGGCGGCGGAGGAGGCCGCGGGCGCTGGGGCTCTGGTCAAGTGGTCACGCCTGGAAAGCGCCCGCTCGACGGGCAGCAGTTCTGCCGCCATCTCGGTCAGCGCTATCGCCTTCAGCATCCTGGGGCACGCCCTGACCGATGCCTGTATGGGGGAAGGCAAGGACACCCAGGAGATCGTGGCCTGCTCCAAGTGCGGCGCCAAAATGGTGCTGGGAGGCCGCTCGGGGGTGACGCCTTGCCTCAGAGAGCGGCGTCCAGGCGACAAGACAGACAAGTCAGGCAGGAGCCAGCGCAGCATGTGGCCGCTGGCACTCCATCCTGGAGGCAGGCCACGAGCTGCAAGGCAGAGGCTGAAGGGAGAAGGCATCGCTGCGTTGCGTTCGCAAGGGCCGGGGCCAGGGCGTGCCCAGGAGCGGTGCCTGGAGTGGCTCGGCATCGCAGCGGAGCTAGCTGTCGGCGCTTTGTCCGCTGCGAGCTGTGCGGGCAGCGCTCCAGCGGCCGCCGCAGCGCCTGCGGCCGCCTCGGGCAGCCAGAGCAAGACCCCTGCGGCTGCGCCCGCAGCGGCCGCCGCCGCCAGCCAACCCCCGCAGCGTCCGACTGCGACGAGAGCTGGGCTCCTCGGCGCCTTCAGGATCACCGAGGAGGAGCTCTCCGCCGCGGCCAGCGCAGCGGTCGACGCCCTGGAGGGCCGCAGGGTGAGCCGCCGTCTGGCGCGCCGCGGCGCTCAGTCCGTGAGTGAGTGGAAGGTAAGCATCTTTGAGGCTCACGCATGCTGCTCTCTGTAGGGAGTAGGCGCCCGTAGCCCTCGGTGCTTGTTGGGACTCGTCGTCTCTCGAGAACGTGGGCCCCGTCTGGCCCTGTCCGTCTTTTTTGTTTGGCACCCCATCTTGCCTTGCAGGCACCGTCTTTAACTTTAACGTTAACCGGAAGAACACATGGGAGCACGGCAGAACAAATAGTAGCACAGCATAACATACAGGAGCACGTACGAACACACAGGAGCACGAGGATAGGAGCACGGCAAAACAAACAGGAGCACGGCAGAACACGCACTTGCACGGCAGAGCACGCAGAACACACCGTAGCCATGTTGGCTCAAGGCCATGGAATACCCGACGACCGCAAGTCGTCCGCGGCGTTTCGGGCGCGAGGGTCTCCTAGCTTTGGGCCAGTGCACTTCTTTGTTGTGCTCCCAGCATGCACGGCGCGGAGGCGCGACCAGTCGGCCAGCTCGGCAGGGGCCACGGCGCGCTCCCCACGTGGCAGCGGCGGGAGCAACAGGCGCAGCGGGTCTTACTGGATGCGCAGCTGCGGTGAGTGGAACTGGGGATGGCGCACCGCGTGCCTCGGCTGTGGGTGCGCTGCGCCGCCCTGGGCGTTGGAGTCAGCGGCCGCCAAGGCGAAGCCCCAGGCTGACAAGGATGGCTGGGTGGATCAGCCGCGAGGACGCCGCGCCCAGCGGCGCGCCCGCAGTGCTGCCGCGAGCGCGGCCTCCACCAAGTCGCGGGCCTCGGCGACAGCAGCCAGCGGCACGCCCAGCGGCAGCGGCACCACGGCGATCGAGAGGTTGCAGGCGACAGTCGAGCAGCTGGAAGCGCTGCACACCGAGCCGCCCGACGGGGTCGACAGCTGGTTCACCGACGTCGTCGGCAGCCAGCAGGAGGCCAAGCGCACTGAGCTGTTCGAGGCGCAACGGGCAGCAGCGGAGCAGGAGGCGTCCTCCCTGCCGCTGTCGACTCAGCTCCACAAGGAGGCGACCGCCATCGGCAAGGCTGAGAAGCGGCTCCGAGCGGCACGCCAGGGCCTGGAGCAGAAGCAGGCGGCGCAAGACATCGCCGAGGCCCAGCTTCATAAGGCCCAGGAGGAGCTGGCGATGCTCGACGCAGATGTGGAGGAGGCCAGCCGCGCACTCCAGGCCCTCGAGGAAGCAGCCCGCGAGGAGGCAGAGGCGCAGCAGCGCCAGCGCGCCGCTGAATGGGCAGGAGCCAGCCAGGTTCCAGGGCTCCTCATGCAGTTGGACAAGCTAGCCGAGGCCTGGGGCTCTAGCAACTTCGAGGTGGCGTGGGCAGCCATCCGTGCCCAGGTGGAAGCAGTGCGAGCGCTGCTCGCAGAGGTCCCTGCAGGCCCGAAGAGAGCGCCCTGGGCTGAGTCCTGCCCCATGGACGACTTCAGCAGCGAGGAAGGCGACCACGCAGGCGGCAGCAGGCCCTGGCAGCCGCAATGTGCCGCAGAGCGCGGCCAGGCCGAGCGGCACGGCGGCGCGCTCGGCGAGTGGCCGAAGGTCGCCCAGGCCTGCAAGCGGGAGCTGGCGGCCGAGGCTGCTGACCTGGGCCCTCTTGCTGCTAGCCAAGGCAGTCCTGCGCGTAGCCTCGCCAGGGCGGCAGGGCCGAGGCAGCAGGCGGACGGTGGCGCCGAGGCAGCCCGCATCGGCGGCAAGCGGCCCCGAGGCCTCGGGAGCGCGCAGGCCCCACCGACGCCAGGCAGAGCAGCGACGCCAGCTCAGGACGTCCGCTGGAGGCTTGAGGTGCTCGGGATCAACGGCAACATCAGGAGGAGATGGGTGGAGGCGTTCGAGGCCTTCGTCATTCCGCTGGGGGAAGCCAGCGGAGCGGCGGACCGCTGTTGGGACACGGCCTTCCTCCACACGTCGGTGCCCACGGACAAGGAGAGCCTGCTGATGCATACAGGCGGCGTCGCCGCCCTGGTTCGCAGCGGCCTGCAGGCAGTGGAGCGTGCCTGGCAAGTCCCGAGCGACCTCAAGCTTCGCATGATTGGAGCGACGGTCTCCGCCGCGTCAGGCCTGCAGCAGCTGGCCCGCTCGCTGCATCGGCAGGATGCCCTGGGGCCCAAGGGCGTCGACCTCTGCATATCCACCGCCTGCTGCGACACGGTGCTCTCGGCGAGCCTGCCCTGGTCGACGCATGGCGACTTCAGCACGGAGCCAGGAGCGCTGCAGGAGAGAATGATGCTTCTGGATGTGAGATCAGATGCCGTGGTGCAGGCGCCGGTCGGCCCAGGGCCTCTCCCCGATCTCAGCGCCGCAGCATGCCGACCCTGCAAAGGCGCTGCAGTCCAGGTACACCGCCGCGTGGGGTGCACTCGCTGGCAGGTGGAGTCCTGCTGTTGGCCCTGAGGGCCTTAGACGAAGCAGCTCGCCAGTGGGTCATGATCGTTGGGGGCACCTTGGTTGGGATCCACGGCACCGACGTCGGCGACCTGTCTAGGGGCCTTGATCGGTCCGAAGGGCCCAAGGTTGGCCTAAGGCCCCCCTGCGCCGCGGCCAAGCGAGGTTCCGCCACCGGCGCTCGGGCCGCACCCACGCCATTCGCCAGGCCCTCGGCGTCGCGCTCCAGGGGCCCACAGCGGACTGGACGCAGCGGTCGCAGCCCATGCGCGAGGCCTGGTACGTTCGGCGGGTGGAGCGCCTGTCTGGCGTTGCGGAGGCGGCCGCCGCCGTAGCCTGCGAGGGCGACGAGGGCGAAGCCCACGAGCTCTGCAACAGCGACGTGGGGCGACCGCATTGGCCAAGCTGGTGCGCATGGGCGCCCAGAGGCCCCTGCAGTGCTGCAGCAGTGCCTCGCGGGCCCCCAGAGGCGCGACGGCAGCAAGTGCTCGGCGTCCTGGAGCAGAGCTGTGGCCAAGGAGGCTGTCTAGAAGGGCGGCAGGATCGCCCGCAGGCCTGCCAAGGCCGCGCCGCCCCCGCAGATGGAAGACCCTGACGCTGGCGGGCCTGTGGCTGGCCTGCTGGCAGTTGGGCAGCTGGAGGCCAGCTGGCAAGCCTGGCGGCAGCAGGAAGGCGGCAGAGCAGGAGCAGGAGCCGGATGCTGGGATGTCCAAGGTTGGACACGGCAGGCCCTCAGCCTGGAGATGCCGCAGGCGGTGCGCAAGCGCGACTCGCCGACGGCGGGCATTGACGCCGAGCAGCCCACCGTGTTGGGCGCAGGGCTCTTCGACGCGCCTGACGTCCACGTGGGGGAGATCGCGGCATGCTCCAAGGGCGGCGCCCGCATGGTGCTGGGAAGCTGCTCGGGGGCGGCGCCTAGCTTCAAGGAGCGGCACCCAGACGACAAGACAGACAAGTCTGGCAGGAACCAGCGCAGCGTGTGGCTGCGGGCACTCCATCCTGGAGGCAGGCCACGAGCTGGCAGGCGGAACGTGAAGGGAGAAAGCATCCCAACGCGGCATGCCCAGGGGTGGTGCCTGGAGTGGCTCGGCATCGCAGCGGGGCCAGCTGTCGGCGCTGTGACCGCGGCGAGCGGTGCGGGCAGCGCTTCGGCGGCCGCCGCTGCGTCTGCGGCCGCCGCACCAGCCCGAGCTTGGCCCCTGCGGCTGCGCCCGCGGCAGCGGCCGCTGCTAGCCAGCCCCATCGGAGTCCTGCTACGGCAAGAGCTGGGCCCCTCGGCGCCCTCAGGATCACCGAGGAGGAGCTCTCTGCCGCGGCCAGCGCAGCGGCTGACGCCCTGGAGGGCCGCAGGGTAAGCCGCCGTTTGGCGCGCCGCGGCGCTCAGTCCGTGAGTGAGAGGAAGGTTTGCATCGGTGTGGCTCGCGCTGGCTGCTCCCTGTCGTGACTAGACTCCTGTGGCCCTCGGTGCTTGCTCGGGCTCGGCGTCTCTCGGGAGTGTGGGTCCCGTCTGGTCCTGTCCGTGCTTTGCCGGGAGGGGGCCCAACGCGGTCTCCTCGGGGGGGGGCGGCCCCTCCGCGGCCCCCCCTCTCTTTTTCTTTCCCCGCCTTTGAGGCCCCGCCAACCAACCGGCCAACACGCAGAACACACAACGCACAGGAGCACGGCATAACACACAGGAGCACGGCATAACACACAGGAGCATGGCAAAGCACAGGCGTCCGCGGCGTTCCGAGCGCGAGGGTCTCCTCGCTTTGGGCCAGTGCACTTCTTTGTTGTGTTCCTTGCTTTCGCGGCGCGGGGGTGCGACCTGTCAGCCAGCGCGGCAAGGGCCATGGCGCGCTCCTCGCGGGGTGGCGGCAGCGGCAGCAGGCGCAGCAGGACGTACTGGATGTGCAGCAGCGGTGGGTGGAACTGGGACTGGCGCACCACGTGCCTTGGCTGTGGGCACGCTGCCCCGCCATGGGCGCTGGAAGCAGCAGCAGCCAAGGCCAAGCCCCAGGCTGATAAGGACGGCTGGGTGGATCAGCCGCGCGGGCGCCGTGCCCAGCGGCAGGCCCGCAGTGCTGCAACGTGCGCGGCCACCTCCAAGTCGCAGGCCTCGGCGTCGGGCGACAGTGGGACGCCCAGCGGCAGCGGCGCCACGGCGATCGAGAGGCTGCAAGTGGCGGTCGAGCAGCTGGAGGCGCTGCAGGCAGAGCCGCCCGACGGGGTCGATTGCTGCTTCACCGACGTCGTCGCCAGCCAGTTGAGGGCCAAGCGCGCCGAGCTGGCCGAGGGCCAGCGGGCTGCAGCGGAGCAGAAGGCGTCCTCCATGCCGCTGCCGATGCTGCTCCACAAGGAGGTGAACGCCATCAGCGGAGAAGCGCCTACGAGCAGCGCGCCAGAGCCTGGAGCAGAGGCAAGCGGCGCGCGGCCTCGCCGATGCCCAGCTGCAGAAGGCCCAGGAGGAGCTGGCGCAGCTCGACGCGGAGGTGGAGGAGGCCAGCCGTGCGCTCCACGTCCTCGAGGAGGAAGCCCGAGTGGAGGCCGCTGCGCAGCTGCGTCAGCGCGCGGCCGAGTGGGCAGGAGCCAGCCAGGTCCCAGGGCTCCTCATGCAGCTGGACAAGCTGCCCGAGGCGTGGGGCCCCAGCAACTTCGAGGTGGCGTGGGCGGCCATTCGCTCCCAGGTGGAGGCGGTGCGTGCGCAGCTCGCCGAAGCCCCTGCGGTCCCGAGGAGAGTACCCTGGGCGGAGTCGTGCCCCATGGACGAGATCAGCAGCGAGGGCGGCGACCTTGCAGGAGGCAGCGGGCCTTGGCAGCCGCAGTGCGCCGTTGAGCGCGGCCAGGCCGAACGTCGCGGCGACGCCCGCGGCGAGTTGCCGAAGGTCGCCCAGGCGTGCAAGCGGGAGCTGGCGGCCGAGGCTGAGGACCTGGCCCCTCTTGCTGCTCGCCCTGCTGGCCGCGCCGCTGGGAGTCGCGGCGGAGGCGAGAGGCCACGGCAGTCGGGCGCGTAGCCACGCCAGAGGCGCTAAGCCTTGGCAGCAGGAGGGCGGCGGCGCCGAAGCGGCCCGCATCGGCGGCAAGCGGCCCCTCGACCTCGGGAGTGCGCAGGCCCCACCAGCGCCAGGCCAAGCTGCGACGGCAGCTCAGGATGTCCGCAGCGGGCTGGAGGAGCTCGGGATCAACGGCAACGCATTGAGGAGGGGCCTGGAGGTGATCGAGGCCTCGGACTCTCGCAACGGGGCCCCGCCGCACCTTGTGATGCTCCAGGAGACCCGCCTGGCTCCGCACAGCCTGGAGGAGGCCAGAGGAGCAGCGCGGCGCATGGGATATACGGCGTTCCTCCACGCGTCGGCGCCCACGGACAAGGAGGGCCCGCTGGCGAACTCAGGCGGCGTCGCAGCCTTGGTTCGCAGCGACCTGCAGGCAGCTGTGATAGCCTGGCAGGCCCCGAGCGACCTGAGGCATTGCATGATTGGAGTCAGTGTCCATTGCGTCAGGCCTGCAGCTGCTGGCGTGCTCGCTGTGCCCCCAGGGCGCCCTGGGACCCAAAGGCCTCAACCTCGACATCCTCGCCGCCTTCGGCGACACGGTGCTCCACCAGAGCCCGCGGTTCATCTCCTTCGTGGGCCTGGCCACCGGGTCGTGCAGCACCAACGGGGCAGTTTTGGCGGGGTGTGCGTATGCCACCACTGTGGCCAAGCTGCCTGTGTTGGCAGCCCTCCGCGCCGCCTCAGCGGGCGGCAGGCCACTGGTTGTCGCTCGCAACGTCGTCAGCGACATCGCGCTGCAGACCGTAGGCACGGAGCAGCTGGTCGCCGCGCGGCTCGGCAGCGCTGGGCTGGAAGTGGCTCGCCGCGTCCGTGGTCAGACCTTTCCCCTCAGTGCTGCCAGGGCGACCTTCCTAGCTTCGAGGCCCAGCCTTGGACGCCAGCGCGGTGAGTGCGGGAAGTCGCAAGGCTGGACCTTCCGTAAGACGTTGCAGGCCGGGAACCTCGGCACGGACGCCGCCAACACGAGGAGAGGAGTACATGATGGCCGAGTCCGAGCTGCAGGAGCGCTTCGCCGAGCGCGCAGGCTGGGCTGCCTTCGAGCCGCTGGCGTGGAGGTGGACCCGATCCACAAGGCTGGGCCCACGGCCAGCATGGCGTGGGGTCGCACGGTCACGGGCAACGCGGACGGCGAGCTACACAGATGGAGGCTTGCGGCCTGCCGCAGCGCAGGAGCGCTCCCCATGGGCGCGGAGCGATGGCTGCGCATGCGCTGTGCCGAGCTCAGGAGGAGGCGTGACCTGGATCCTGCAGCCCTCACGGCAGGCCACGCAGTCCAGATGATGGCGGGCCTGCTGCAGACAGGCGAGCTGCCGCCCAGGGTGATGGAGCGCGGGCTGGAGGCGGCGGCGACCAGTCACGCAAGAGCTGACACGCCATGGAAGCACTGCGCCTCCCCCTTCGACGCGGTGGTGCTGACCCGTGCGCGGATCGACTGGCACTTCAAGCCCGAGCGGTGCATGGTCACGGACATCGGCGATGAGCTCGGCCTCGTGCACCTCGGGTCTCGGGAGCTGGACTTGGAGGCTGGCCTTGGCGCTCGGCGTGCGTCTCTTCGCCATGAGATGCGGAAGCTCAGCCATGACACCCACCTGCAGCGGCCACTGCACTGGGACGCCATCGGACGGCATGCGCGCTGCTGCTGCTGCGGAGCAGAGAGAGGCACCTCCGCCTGTTCGGCTGCCCCGTGCTCGAGCCCCAGCGGCGCGACGCAGTGTCGGCTGAAGCAGCGCGCAGAACCTGGCTGCCCGCACCAGAGCCACCGCAGGGTCGCCGCACGGACGCCATGTGGTGCAATGTGTCTGCAGGCCAGCCGATGATAAGCTCAACGGCAAGCTGTACCTCGGTGGCTCGGCGCTCGAGCCGCAGTTCGGCGCCTTGCGCTGTGCGGGCTGGGCCATAGCGCAGTGCGATGACGACGGTAACCTGGGGGCAGGGGTCTACGGCACCGTCTGGCGCGACCGCTGCCCGCAGCAGACGGCCAAGGACGGCGATGGGCCTTGCTGCCTGGATGCTCGCCACCTTCGCGGGGCCAGCAGTGGAGGAAGTCAACGTCGACTGCAGCTCCGCAGTGTCCTGCCTGCGGAGAGGGCGTGCGTACGCCACCGCTCCCGGCAGGGCGAACGCCCACCTATGGTGCAAGATTCTGGCAGCCTTCGAGCCAGGCGCTTTCGAGGTGAAGAAGGTGCCAGCCCCCTGTTCGAGGCAGGCAGCGCTCGACGGGCTCCTGGCGGAGGCCCAGAGGCGCGGCAACGAGCACGCCGACCGCCTCGCCGAGATGGGCGCCAAGACGCATGCAGTGGACAGGCTGACGGTTGGCGTGCACCATGCGCTCGCGGAGATCGCGCAGGAGCTCGCTGGATCTGGGGGGGCGCCATCATCGGGCAAGGCATCGAGGCCCGGGGCCGCCGAGGTGTCTCAGGCAGCGGAGGGTGCCACGGGCGATGGGGCCGATGGCCAAGCAGCCACGCCTGGAAAGCGCCCGCTCGACAGGCAGCAGCTCGGCAGCCCTTTCGGCCAGTGCAGTAGCCTTCAGCATCCTGGGACATGCCCTGTCCTATGCCTGCGCTGGAGAAGGTGAGGACACCCAAGAGCTCGTGGCATGCTCCAAGTGCGGCGCCTACATGACGCTGGGCGGCCGCTCAGGGGTTAGGCCTCGCCTCAAGGAGCGGTGCCCAGGCGACAAAGACCGACAAGGGCGGCAGGAACCCGCGCAGCCTGTAGCTACGAGGACTCCATCCAGGAGGCAGGAGGCAGGAGGGATCACGAGCTGCCAGGCACAGAGTGAAAGGAGAGGGCATCCCTGCGCTGCGCTCACAGGGCCCAGTGCCTGAGCACGCGCAGGAGCGGTACCTGGAGTGGCCTGGCACTGCAGCGGAGCCAGCTGTAGACTCCTCGGCCACTGCGAGCAGTGCAGGCAGCGCCCCAGCGGCAGCTGCGGAGCCGCAAGTGGCAGCGGGTCCAGGAGAAGCCCCAGCGGATGCGGCCGTCGCTGCGGCCGCTGCCAGCCTGCCTCTGCGGCGCCCAGCTGCAGCGATAGTTGGGCTCCTCGAAGGCCTTCGGGGTCACCGAGGAGGAGTTCGCCGCCGCGGCCGGCGCTGCAGTCGACGCCCTGGAGGACCGCAGGGTGCGCCGCCGCATGGCGCGCCGTGGCGGCCCGACCGTGAGTGAGTGAAGGATTGGCATCGCTGTGGCTCGCGCCAGCTGCTCCCCTTGGTGAGAAGGCTTCCGTCGCCCTCGGTGCTCGCGTGGGACTCGGCATATCTCGGGAACGCGGGTCCCGTCTGCCCCTGTCCGTGTTTTACTTTATCACCTTTGCCTTGCAGGCCCCGTCTTTAACTTTAATTTTAACACACAGGAGCACGGCAGTACGCATAGGAGCACGCAGAACACACAGATGCACAACATAATTGATTGCAGAACGCGCAGGAGCACGGCAGAACACGCAGGATCACGAAGTGCACGACCGACCGCACGGAGTACATGTAGGAGCACGGCGGAACACACACAGAAGCATGGCAGAACACGCAGGGGCGCGGCAGATCACACAAAACGCATAGGAACACGGCAGAACAACCAGCATCACGGCAGAACACACAGGAGCACGGCATAACATACAAGAGCTACAAGAGCACGGCAGAACACACAGGAGCACGGCAGAGCAGGATTATGGCATAATGCACAGGAGCATGGCAGAACACACAGGAGCACGGCAGAACACGCAGGAGCACGGCATAACACATAAAACATCTATTCACACAGCCGCACCCACAGGCACACGCACACAGGCACACGCGCATGGGCACACGCACGCGCACACGCACACGCACACACAGACACATACACAGACGCACACACGCACATAGAGAGGCAACATACGTTCACGCAGACCGCAGAAGCACGGCAGGGCAGCAGGGCATAACACAGCAGTGCCGCAGACCACTACGCACGGACACGCATGCACATATTCCACGCACGCACGCGCACGCGCAAACGCACGCACGCCACGACAGACTTGCGCAGCGCATACTAAGAACGTAGGATATCTCATCAGCCCAGGACACAACAGGATGCTCCCCGTTCTTGTCCAGTCAGGTTTTTTGGGGTCGGTGCTGGACCCTGTTCCCCCCCCCCCGCTGGCACGCGAAAGCGCACGGAACGCGTCAGGGGCGGCGCCGGATGCGCCGACAGAGGGGTCCAGCGCGTGCCCGAAATCTCTTCGCGGATTTCAGAACGTTTCCATGCTGGCGCTCCTCTGGGCAAGGGGGGGGGCGCAAGACACATTCCTCACGCGTCGTCCACCCCCCCCCCGCTTGGATCTCGAAGGGCTTCGCGACTTTCACCGATCGACGTGCGACGACAAAGCTGAATAAAGCAACGCATCCTACCAACATCGAATGCACAATCTGACATCACGGAGCACCTCGACATGAGGCATTCCAAAAATATGTTGCCTTCGAGGATCGAAGAAGTTGCCACCTCCTCCGCGGCGGATGGCCGGTGGAAGTATAACGAGGCCGCCTCCGCCGGCGGAAGGCCAGCGGAATGCGGCGGAAAAAAAAATGCGCCACCATGGGATTACATGTTCTGGGGTTCAGGGTGTCCGGAATCGGCCACGTGTCGGGAAAATTGCCAGACATAGTAGAAGATCCAGCGCGAGTCGAGGAGCCGCAAGACGTTGCTAAGCCCTTGGCGGCGCGGGATGGCTGCGCACGGGACGGGGCCGGAGCACGCGCGAAGCCGTGAGGACGAGGACCTGGACGCCCTGCTGGCCGAGCTCGGGGGCGACGCGGCGTCCTCGAAGGGCAAGAAGGGCAAGAAGAAGTAGACGCCCGCCCTCTCACGCCAGCCTCCTCTTCCTCCTCCCTCCTCTTCCTCCTCCTCCTCCTCCTCCTCCTCCTTCTCCTCCTCCTCCCCACTCCTCCCTCCTCCTTCTCCTCCTCCTCCTCCTCCTCCTCCTCTTCCTTCTCCTCCTTCTTCCCCTCCTCCTCCTCCTCCCCCTCGTCCTCCTCCTCCTCCTCCTCCTCCTCCTCCTCCTCCTCCTCCCCCTCCTCCTCCTCCCCCTCCTCCTTTTTTTGTCGACCAGCTTTCTGGCCCAAGTTTTGGCTTTGGCATTCGCTGCGCATCATCTGCCATCCACACTTTCTGGGTTGGACATGGCGCCCGTCAGCGCGCAGGAACGATAAGAGGGAAGACCTGGTACCGCAGTGGACATTAGGGACAATCGCACGTCATGTGGGCAGCCAACACCTGGTCCCGCCTCAGTCATCGACGCTGCCGCCGTCGTATCAGGTTTCGTCGTCCTACAGCTCGTCCTTCGACCACCTCGACCTCCACGTCCTCCCCCTCGCTACCGCAAGCACTCGCTGCTGATGCTAGCTGCTGTGTGCCTCACAGCGCGGTCCTCTGACGATGAGTTGTGGCTTTGAGTTCCTGTCGCGTGAGGTGGTGAGCGCTGGAGTCGAGATCGCAGTCTTGGGTTCTCGGTCAGCCCCGTTTTTTGTATGTTGCCAACGCTGGCGCAAGCTGTCGAGGTCGAGGTACTCCGCCCCTGCAGGTCTCCGATCTTGTCATCGACTTCCTCGCAGCCTTCGCCCACTCTGTTTGTTCCTGACCGTCTGGAGTGTTGGGTCCTTGTTTTGAGTACGCAGCGCGGCGCGTCTCCTGTTTGCTTCCCTCCTTCCTTCCCTCCTTCTTCTTCCCCCTCCTCCTCCTCCTCCTCCTCCCCCGTTTCCTCCTCCTTTTCCCTCCCCCTCCCCCTCCTCCTCCTCCCGTTCCTCCTCCTCATCATCCTCATCCTTTTTCTATCCTGGCCAATTTCGGCACACCTCTTACGTGTTCCGTGGCCCCCTGGGGAGCTCCACCGAAGGCCCCAATTGCAGGTTTCGCATATCGCTCCCCGACTATTTCGGCACAACCCTCACACGTTTTGCGGTCCCTGGAGAGCTTCACCGAAGGCCTCAGTGGCAGGGTTCGCATACAGCCATCCGACCACTACGGCACACCACTCACACGTTTCGGGGCCCCATAGGAGCTCCACCGAAGGCCACAGTGGCAGGGTTCGCATGCAACCCCCCGACCATTTCGGCACACCCCTAACGCGTTTCGTGGCCCCTAGGGAGCTCCATTCAAGGCCGCAGTGGCAGGGTTCGCATGCCGCCCCCCGACCATTTCGGCACACCCCTAACTCGTTTCGTGGCCCCTGCAGAGCTCCATTGAAGGCCCCAGTGGCAAGGTTCGTGCATGTCCCCCCGACCATTTCGGCACACCCCTCACACAGTTCGTGGTCCCAGGGGAGTTCCCTGCATTTTGGCACCCCCTCCTCGTGGCCCTTGGGGCGCTCCACTGAAGGCCCCAGAGTCTGGGCTCGCATAGCGCCACCCGACCACTTCGGCACACCCCTCACACGTTTTGTGCCCTCGAAGCTCAACCGAAAGGCCCAGGAGCAGGGTTCGCACATCGCCCACTGGAGAATTTCGGCAGACCCTTCACACGTTTCGTGGACCCCTAGGGAGCTCCACCGAAGGCCCCAGGGTTCGCATATCGCCCCCTACCAGTTCGGCACACCCCTAACACGTTTCGTGGCCCCTTATGTGGAACTCCACCGAAGGCCCCAATGACAAGGTTCGCATGCCGCCCCCGACCATTTCGGCACACCCCCCACACGTTTCGTGGACCCCTAGGGGAGCTCCACCGAAGGCCCCATCGGTAGGGTTCGCATATGCCCCCCGACCATTTCGGCTGACACCTCATTCGATAGACAGGTCCTTGGCGAAGCGTCCAGGGTTCTTGCAGATCCACCAGTGTTTTCTCGTGCGCTGGGCGGTCCTGCCTGTAGGCGCCTTTTGTTTGAATTGGGGTTGGTATCCTCGCCAGGCTAAGTCTTGATCTTCCTCTCTCTCTCCCTTTCTCTCTCTCGCTTTCTCTCTCTGTGGCGAACTTCGTCGGCCAGCTATTCCGTGTCAGCTTGCAGTTGGAGTGCTTGCGCCCATCCGTGGGAGCTCCGTTGCTCGCTGCTAGCGCTTAAACCTGTCACGCTGCTGCCTTTTCGTCGTCATCCTCCTCCCTCCTCGCCCTCGGCGCCCTGGGCTGTGCTACTCATCAGTGCCGCACCCTCGGGCTGATGCTCGCGTGCGGGCAATTCCGTGGACAACCGATCCGATCCGATCCGTCCTCCGCGATCTGGCGCCTCTCTCTGCCATCCTCCTCCTCCTCCTCCTCCTCCTCCTCCTCCTCCTCCTCCTCCTCCACCCCCTCCTCCCCCTCCTCCTTCTCTTCCCCCTCCTCCCCCTCCTCCTCCTCCCCCTCCCCCTCATCCCCCTCCCCCCGCCGTGCCGCTCCTGCCCTCACTGCTGATCTCCCCGCACCAGGGCGGCAGGCACGACGTGATCAAGCTCTCGGTGGCCATCTTCGCGGTGCCAGCGCCGTGGGGCGCAGACGCCGCACCTGCCTTTCCGCTGCTGCGCGGGTGGCCGACGCCCACTCCCTGTGCACTTGTCGGCCTCGTGCGCGCCTCTTTCGCGCCGCAGGGTGAACAGGATGCTCCTCGATGGCCCTCGCCGAGCAAGCACGCACGCGCCAGAGCGATGCCAAGGCCAGTGCGGGGGGGGGGGAAGACAAGGACTCCAAGAGGGGCCCTCCGGGGCCCCTGCTGGCTCCACACAGGGACCCTCGAGGGCCCCTCTTTGAGGGCCCTTTTTTATCTCCACCCCCAAATGTGGCCGCTGCTGCGCGGGTGGCCGACGGGTGATTTCATTTTCTGTGCATCTTGCGTGTGTCGCTCGCGCGACCCGCGGGGGTGTCGCAAGGCAGAGTGCCACCGCCTTCCGCCTCAGCCGGCTGTGGTAGTCACGGGACCCTCGCACTGGGGAGTCCCTGCGCGACCGTCGGCTTCAGTTGTTCGGTGAGCTGGCCATGGCGACAAAAGGGGGGCCTCGTCGTGTTGCCGGATGGCCCTGGCGGCAGCGAAAACGCAGCGCGGGCCTCTTAAGCCGCTCGCTGTGCCGCGAGCCAGGTCCTTTCTCCTCCTCCTCCTCCTCCTCCTCCTCCTCCTCCTCCTCCTCCCCCTCCTCCTCCTCCTCCTCCTTTCCTCTTCTCCTCCCTTCCTCCCTTAATTAGCGAGTGTCGACGGCGTCAGCCGTGCGTCCCAGTCTTAGCGCGGCGGGGTTTGGCCAT